CCCGCCAGCCCCTGTTTATTTTTCTCTGAGACAGAGCCTCATTATGTAGCCCTGGCTGTACTAGAACTCCCTACATAGACCAGGCTAACCTCAAATTCACAGACCCACCTGCCTGTGCCTTCCTGAGTACTGTGATCAAAGGTGTGAACCCACTGTATCCTGTGTATCTTACGTAAATTTTAAACGTTTAATTTTGTGTGAAGTATCAGTAGATGTGCTTTTCTTTCTTTCTCACTTTCTTTTTCTTTCTCTCTCTCTTTCTCTTTTGCTCTTTTTTTCTTTCTTTTTTTTTAGACAGGGTTTCTCTGCAGCCTTGGCTGTTCTGGAACTCACTCTGGGGGCCAGGCTCACAGAGATCTGCCTCCCTCTGACTCCTTAGTGCTGGTATTAAAGGCGTGTGCCACCATGGCTGGCTGAGATGTGCTTTACTTTACGCTGTATTTTCTCCTTCCTCCCATTATTGGTTGTGTTGTTGTAAAAATGCTGTGTTGAGGTTTGGTTGAAGTCACCACTGTAAAGCACAGACTGTATTCCTGGATTTCAGGGTTACTGTATTTATTTTGTTGTTGTTTTCTAGAGTTACCCAGGATATCCACACTGCTGGAAATGGAAGCCATCTTAGCCCTTGACACTGTTTGGCTTTTAGTATATAGCTGTTTTCTCCTGTACCTTTTGGGCATGGAAAAGTATTTAACCCCACCCCTCTCCTTCACGAGGGTCTATAGCCAGGCTGGCCCCAGGCAGTCCTCTGACCTCAGTTCCAGTAAGTTTTGTATTTACAGGTCCCCACTGTGCTGCTTACTATTGGGAGCTACACCTGTCAGATTTCTCACTTTCTGGGTCCTTTTCAGGTTGTTGAAAGTGCTATTTTAAAGAATGAAAACGGTTGTTTTGGGCATTCCTTTTCCTCAAAGAGGAAAACGCAACAAATAACAGAAGTTAAGGTCTGTAGAAAATGAGCTCAGAATTCAGTTGAGAGAAAGTTTTTCGTCTGTGTTGTTTGGATAATGTAATGTTATTTCAGTGCTAGACTATTACTAAAATCGTTTCTAAATATTAGAGTAATGGCTGGTCATGGTGACACACACCTCCATGTGTAAAGCCAGCAAGGGAAGGCAGGAAGAGCCAGTGTTCAAGGTCATTCTCGGCTCCAGAACAAGTTCCAGGGAGGCCTGGATTACATGCAGCCCTGCCTGAAAAAGGGAGGAATATGAATACGGTTGTAAGTGTAATCCTGGTGTTGTGTAGGGGGTTCTTTTTTCTCCTGTCCCGTGGTTACTTTCCACCCTCAGTGTCAGTTAGATGAAATTGGAGAAAGTTTTGTTGGTATTTTACAGTACTGGGAATTGAACTTAGGGCCTCACTAATACTACATAAACATTCTACCACTGAGCCATTCACTGCCAGTCTTTTAATCTTCATTATTACATCTTCCTCTTACTTATTACTTTATTCTCATATATTACCTCCCCACCACGGTTACCTCCTCCCTGTGTCCACACTTTTTTTTTTTTTTAAGATAGGGTCTCAATATGTCACCCTGGCTGGCCTAGAACTAGCCATGTAGACCAGGCTGTAAACTCAGGAGATCTACCTCTCAGTTACTGAGATTAAAGGCATAGGCCACCTTAGCCAGCTGCTCCTTCATTTTGAATGTATTCTTTCTCTTGTCTGCATTGCTCTTTTCCTTCAGTGAGAATTTCTACTCTTTAGCTACCCAACAGAAACAACCGTAACACCAAAAGGCATTTTTTCAAGATTTCAGTGAGATAAAACTTTTACAAGATATGATACCTGTTCTTTTTTTCTTTTAAACATCAGTACGCATACTTATTTGTTTTCTTTTTTTAAAGATTTGTTTATTTTATGTATACAAGTGCACTGTTTTCATGCACACCAGAAGAGGGCACCAAATTTCACTCTAGATAGTCATGAGCCACCATGTGGTTGCTGGGAATTGAACTCAGAACCTCTTGAAGAGCAGCCAGTGCTCTTAACTGTGGAGCCATCTCTCCAGCCCTGCCCGCCTGTTCTTTAATCATTCCATTTTTATAAACTATATAGAATACTTTGTTTTACGTCGTTTACTGTCAGTTTTGACAATTGTTGTGTTGTTGTTACCATTGTCAATTCAGAACTTCGTCCTGGTGTTGTGCCTTAGAGTTACACATGTTGGTACACACGAAAGATGAATTAATGGAGCTCTAGAGAGATGGCTCAGGAGTTGAGTACTGGCTGATCTTTCAGAGGACCAGAGTTAGGATCCCAGAACCTACTTCTGGTAGCTCACGAGTGCCTGTAAGTCTAGCTCCAGGAAATCCAGCATCTTCTGGCCTCTGTGATCACCAGCATGTACATCTGCACACACACAGCAGACAAATGTACAAATAAACAAATGAGTCTTTAGAAAAATGAATTAGGGGGTGGAGAGATGGCTCTGTTCTTCCAGAGGTCCTGAGTGCAATTCCCAGCACCCATATGGTGGCTCACAACCATCTATACTGGAAATTGATGCCCTCTTCTGGCATGTAGGTATATATGCAGAAAGAGCACTCATATACATAAAGTAAATAAATAAAATCTTTAAAAAGTGAGGTAATGTAAAAATGGAGCCACTTTAGAAATGAGGGAGTTTTTTTTTTTTTTTTAATTGCAGTGAAAAAAAAATGCATAGTTTAGAACTGGGAATATTTTTCTTGATATGTAGTCTTTAGTCTTCTAAAATAGTAATGTATATGCTGAATAACTATAGGTTATTGAAGGACCCTTATACCACTCTGTTAAACAGGAAAATCTCAAGCTAATATCTAAGCACGTAATATTGGGAAAAATTAACAGAAAGCAAAGGGGCAAAGACTGTAGTAAAAATGTAGTCTAATAGCACTGAGGTCAGACACAGACCTGCCTGCTTTTCCCTTGATAAAAATGGGGTGTTTGTAACTTCTCCAGGCTTCACAAATTACTGACAGTAAATATATGGCAATTTAAAAAAACAAAACAAAACAAAGAGAAACAAGAGCACCAGGCTGTCAGAGTGAATTAGCTGAGTTTATGACCCTTACCAATACCACAGCAGTCGCCGTCAGTGGATCTGGCTACACGCAGTAAGCACGGTGAGGGGCACAGTGCTAGGCTTCAGAAAGAGCTCTTCTGCATTCATTTTTAACAGCTGATACTTGAAAAATCTTAGTCTTCATATTTCTCAACTGCTCTCCTTTCCTGATTATGCCAGGGCTGCTTTTAGTGCATTCAAATTTGTCTTGTCACTGTGAGCTTATGTTTGTATGGGCATTGGAACAGGGCTCATTCGGTCACCACATCTTTACTCTTCTAGTAAAGTCCTCTAGATGTGGAGGACTTCCGCAGTGTTCTTCTCAAAATGAGGTCACTGAAATAAGGTGTCTCTGAGATATGCCAGGGAGGGTTCCATTATTTGAACTCTCTTTCTCTCCCTCTCCCATTCTCTGTGCTCTTTTCTCCTTCCTTCCCTCTGCCCTTCCTCCCCTTTGTCTTTGAAGTAGTATCTCACTATGTAGTCCAGGCTGATTGCAAATTGGTTATTCTACTTCAGGTTCCTGAGTTCTGGAATGGAGTGACTGAGAGACCATTTAAGAAACCATTTGCTAGTTATAAATATTTGTGTTTGTTCTTTTTACTCCAAGGATTAGGTGTTAGGGGCTAGAGGGATGGCTTAGCGGTTACACATGTTACAGAGGACCTGGTTCATTTCCCGGCACCAACATGGTGGCTCACGATCATCTCTAACTACAGTTCCCAGGGCACTGGATGCCCTCTTCTGACATCCGAGGGCACTGGGCATGCATGATGATATTGGTATACATACATGTAGGCATACACATAAATTCATACACATAAAATAAAGCAACAAAAAAATCCCCAAAGACTTAGAAATTAAACATCCAGGGAGACGGCTCTGTGGGGAAAGGTGCTTGCTCAGCAAGCCTTGATAACCTGAGTTCAGTCCCCAAGACCCCACATGGTGGAAGGAGAAACGACTCCCCCACGTGTCCTCTGACTGTCATATGTGCACTCACACACACATTTAAATAAATAGTAAGTGATGCCAGGCTGGAGAGATGGGTCAGTAGTTTAAGAGCGCTTGCTGGTCTTCCAGAGGAGCAGAGTTAGGACTCCAGATAAAATCATGAAGTGTGATTTAAAAGGCTCTCTATGATGTTACATACAGTTGTAACATTAGTTACGGTTTTTGTGGTGTGAGGATTAGGCTCAGAGCCTTGTACCAGCCAGCCGAGAACGCGGAACACAGCGGAACACAGGTTACACTCTCAGTTGTGCTGTGGCTTCTGCCCTGCCCGTATACACCGAGAAGGAACGTCTGCTGATGGTAACTGGGGGAGGAGACGAACACTGGAGTTGTCCAGGTAAAAGGTATAAAACAGAAAGCCATTTAGAAACTTAGTGTGTGAAGAAAACAAAAACAAAAACAGCCTTCTTCTAATGTACAATGAAAAGTGTTTGTGAAAATAGCCTTTAAGAGAGTGAATTATATTCAGATGATCCTATTTAAGAAGATAAATACAGAATTAGGTTACAAGTTGAATTGAAGTTGTTTTTCAGAAGGCTTTTGTGGAATGAGTTACGTTCATAATTTCCTTGGAAAGCTTATCTGTCTCCATGGCTACAGAGTAGAGTGTTTGTTACTGGAAAGCAGCAGAGGAAGAATGCTGAGCAGTAGGTCTTTAGCCCACGCAGCAGCCCTGCGCCCTCAGTGGCACAGCTGGGAAGCTGTGGACTGCGGTCCCTGGCCGCCCTTCAGAACTGTGGTACCGCAGCACCGTGGGACAACACCGACCTGCTTGTGAATTGTAGGGCTGAGCATAGTTGAAGGATTAACTGTAAACATTACGTAGAGATCCGAGGACCTTGTAAAGAGGTTCAAGCACTGGGAGGAAATTTAATCACCGATTTTAGACGGGATGGAAGAAAGATGTTAAATGTAAACTATTGATATTTTCTAGAAACGACTACAAAAAGAACTGTTGGCGTTGCAAAATGATCCACCTCCTGGAATGACTTTAAACGAAAAGAGCGTTCAAAACTCAATTACGCAGTGAGTATTTGCTTCTTAAAGGCCTTGCTTGTGCTGTTCAAGTGTGTACTCATTTTTAAAAAAGTTAATTTTGTGTTTCATTGCCTTCTGTTACACCATTAGGTAAATACAGGAAAAAGGTTTTACTCCATATATTTGCGTATTTATTTCTTTAACCTTACTGGGCTACCGTAGGTTTGTTGTCACATAATTTGTAAAGCTTCCTTTTTTTCTTAAAACAGTGTTTGTGTCTCTCAGGTCCCTTATTATTATGTTTTTATTCTTGGTGTAGCTTGGGACTAGCCTTCGTCTCCAGAACACTGGCAGTACAGCCAGGTATGTGCCACCATATGGCTCTGTGCTCATGCGCTCTGCATCCAGACTTGCAGCCCAGGAAACCCTTCAAAAACTATGACTACCATACTGTAGACACAGTCAGTAAAATAGCCCATGCTGTGCTAAAGAAAGAACAAAGCTGGGAAGAGAGTTACCTGGCACAAATTATACTTTTTTTTTTAAAGCATCTCTAGTTGTAAGGATAAGTTAGAAACTGTGTCACCGATAGGGAAGGGTGACACAGTGAAATGCTGTCCCTATAGTCTGTAGTCAGTTTGTAAGGTAGAAATTTTGTTTAGTCATAAATTGCAATTATCTTTGAAAATTGTGTAGAAAGGCTTTATTGGCTGAGTGCAGTTCTACCTACCTGTAGTCCTGGCCAGGTTGAGGTAGGAGAATGAGCCCGAAAGTTCAGGACCACTCGGGGCCACGTGGTGAAATCTGAAGAACAACCCATGCCCCAAGGAAAGACAGCATTAGCATGCTGCTTGTCTTAGTCCGTAGAACCCATCTCTTCTGTGGGTCAGCATATAGACCTATTTCTTTATTAGAAACCAGAATGTGTAAAAAAAACAAATTCAAACCATTATGTTTTAAAAAGGAGGAATGATTACAGAGTGGAGACTCATTAGAGAAAGGTATGTTTGCTTCTCGAATTACATTCTTACTCCGAGGCATATGCTCATGATTGGAACCTAAGTACTTGATGGTTCAAATTTGTATGATTTGGCTGGTGAGATGGCTCAGCTGCTAAGGGTGTTTGCTGCATAAGTCTGATGATCAGAGTTTCATCTTTGGAACCCACATAAAGATGGAAGGTGAGAACCAACTGCACAGAGTTGTCCACTGATCATCACCCATGCCACGGCATGCATACCCATACCCACACACAGTAGACATCACACGAATCATGAATAAAGCAAAAAATTACATAATTTAAGCGTGCATATAGTAAAAAGTACTATATTTCTCGTCATCAGTGATGTAGTAAACTGCAAAACCGTAAGAATCAAATACACCCCCCTCAAATGTAACAGTGGCTATTCCTAGTCTCTTTTTAAATTCAGTAAGCATATATTACTTTTTTAATTAGCAAAGATTAAAAGTTTATTGCACATAGTATTAGGAATCATGTCTTTGACCTGTTTCATGCAAATATTGCATGATTAATGATGTTTGCCTTGCTGTCATTTAAAAACTCTGCTTTGTTATGTCATGAGTAAATTGGTTGTGTTTGCCAGTGGTAAAATCTGCTACGTAAAGAAAATGAAGGAGCACCAGGAAATTCTGTTTCCTTGCATTGCCGCTCTGCATAGTAGGTGTGCACAGCTGGGAGAAAAATGGATTTCGAAGAGGAAAAAAAGACCTAGTTTTGGTTTTTGTTTTTTTTTTTTTTTAAATAAGAGCGAGCATGCGTGGGTGCGTGGGTGCATGGGTGCGTGGGTGCGTGTGTGTGTGTGTGTGTGTGTGTGTGTGTGTGTGTGTATAGAGCTGGGTATTGAACCCAGGCCTGTTAGCATGCTGTGCAAGGGCTCCGTCACTGATCTGTATGCCCTCACAGATTTTTTGCTTTCTATACAGTTTTGTGTTTTGTTTAATTTACTGTGTACCACCTCTGAGGGTAGAAATGTGTGAGGTATTTTTTTTCTTTAAACATAGGCACTATCATTTCCCTCTCCCTTCTATCTCCTTCTATATCGAAGGTACTCAGCATACATTCCGAAAATGAATTGTCATGTTTTTTAAGGGTTTCTGTACTTTAATTGGTTTCTTTCATAGACTAAGCCCAGCCCATGTTATTATTCTATACATTCCTAGTTCCATATCACATGAGACATGAGTAGAACCTTATCCCAATATTCTCTGTCTTCTCTGCTCTTCCTGGACATCTATCTATCTGGATAGAAGAGTGGATGATACTGGCTGGCAGTACTGGGTTTCAAATTCAGGGCCTTGCTGAGTGCTCTACTGCTGAGGTGCAGCCTCAATCCACGTTTTCCTGTATTTAAAATCAGGATGTTTTTGTGCCTGAGAAGCTTGAGGTTAAAGGATTTGGCCAGCTACAGTAACCTCATGTGACAGCTGTAATTCAATAGTCGTTCCCAGTGACTTTCGTTCAAGTCTAAACGCTGCCCTATCTTTGCTGTTCTTATTTTCTATTTCCTTTTCTAAAGGCTAGCATTGGTTACAGAATATTAACAAAAACATTTATGTTCCTGACAGTTACACATGAAGACAAAACTAGCTTACATAGATGCTGTAGAAATCTGTGTGTGCATCATTAAAGTGTGAAAAGTGAGCTAGCAGGGAAAGGCAGTGGAAAGTCTTGCTTGTAACCTTGCCTTTCTTGTAACCTTCCAAGTATATGGATGGGGTTCAATTTAGCTTCCCTTCTTTAGAGTGCTGATAAGAGATAGGTTTCCCAGCTACAGTCCTCTGTAGCCTTTGTTGATAGCACTCTCTCCCATTGCTTCTAATACAGGAAGGTGGCTAATGAGCTTGATACTGTCTAAGAAGTTCTCAGGAATTGTAGCAAGTAGTCTTTGAAAGAAAAATAAGATGGTTTGATCTGAAGGGAAGAGCACAATATAGACTGATATTAGCAGACTTTGGAGTTTTTATTTGTTTGTTTGTAGTTTGTTTCAGACCTGGGTTACAAGCCTGACGCTGACCTTGACGTAATTTCTTTAATCTGGATAGGGAAGAGAGTGTTACTCTAGGGTTGGAGAGATATCTCTTCAGTTAAGAGATGTGTTGCTATTCCAGAGTGCCCTAGTGTATGCCCTGACCTCTGCGTCACTGGTGGCTCCCAACAGGCCGTTAACTCCAGCTTGAGGGGATGTGATGCCCTCTTCTGGCCTCCATGGGCACTAGCACACATAGAGCATACACGCATAGGTCAGACAACCAACCTTGCACTGAGGTTCAGGAAGCTAGAAGCACAAGGTAGTAACCCGAGTTCAATCCCTGGAACCCACACAGAGGTGGAAGGAAAGGGTCAATTCCACAAAGCTATGTGTTGTGTGCTGTGGTTGTGCAAGTCCCCCTCCCCCGTAATAATATTACTCAAACACGTATAATATACGCGTAGTAATAAATTTATAAAGTTCTCCACAAAGACATCCTCAGTGTGAGAGTTGCTGGGTGAAGTGCCCCGCTAGACTCCGCCCGGTGCCTGGCGTCTCATGATCTCTTTTTCCTTTTGCCCAATCCTTTTTACCTTGTTTCAAATTTGTTTCCTTACTGTTTTCCTTTCTCCTGTCCTAGGTGGATTGTAGACATGGAAGGTGCACCAGGAACCTTATATGAAGGGGAAAAATTTCAACTTCTCTTTAAATTTAGTAGTCGATACCCTTTTGACTCTCCTCAGGTAAACGCCTTGCATGTACCGTTTTATTGTAGTTTTAGATTATAGCAGATGCTAAATTGGTTATTTTTGCCTAAGTAAAACCTATGTCAGAAACCCAGTGTAAATATGTAGTTAGCCTTGTTTTCGCACTGTTGTACGGAAGTGAAGATTTTATGAAGTTTATTGGTGCACAGGCTTTGTTGCTGCCAAGTGCTTCCCTGGGCTTCAGCTTCTCTGTCATCATCCATGGGTTTCAAGGGCAACAGGGAAAAGTTAGCATTTTTTGTTGTAGTCTGTGTAACAGCCCTGGCTGTCCTGGACTTTGTAGACCAGGTTGGCCCCCAACTCACAGAGATCCACCTGCCTCTGCCTCCTGAGTGCTGGGATTACAGGCCTGCACCACCACACCCTGCTGAAAAGGTAGCATTTTTTTAATAACTACAGACACTCTTTCCAGGACAAGTGATCATGCTAGTAAAGATGCAAAGGCTCCTTTAGAAGGGCTTGTGTCTTTGGTTTTCAGCCTTCAGAAACAAGTGTGTTTACAGATGTTAAATACATGAAGTCAGCCTGAAGTTTGAGGCAAACATAGTTTAATTAGTGGTTTAATGATTAAGACTTACATCTATTTATTTATTTATTTATTTATTTATTTATTTATTTATTTATTTTAGTTTATGTGTGTTAGTGGTTTACCTGCATATATGTCTGTGTACCACATGTGTGTCTGATGCCCTCAGAGGTCAGAAGAGGGTTTTGAATTTCCTAGAACTGGAGTTATACGTGTTTGTGAGCAGCAATGTTGGTGCTGGGAATTGAACCTGGGTTTTCTGGAAGAACAAGTGCTCTTAACAGCTGAGCTCTCTCCAGCCGCAGGGAATGTTTTTAAAAGGTATTTAACTAGTAAATCATTAATTGGAGGTTAGAGGAGATTCTGGGATGATTTCCAGGTTCCTGACTTGGAAGATGATGAGTTACTAGAATTACTAGAATTACTTAGTCTTCACCGAATTAAAACATTGGTATGTGATTAAAAATGTGCTGTTTTGAGCAAAGTCATATTTCATTGTTGTCTTCAACATAACATTCTGAATATAGCTTAAGTATTTTTTTGGCCACAAGAGAAAACAAAGGAACTTGGTTATTGTGTTATGCTGTAAAGGGAATTGTACAAAGAGATAGGGCTAACTAGATACTTAATGGCATGTGAGCAGAAGGTTGTTAAGCCTCAAGGCTCAGTTGGGCTTGTTCTAGAACTTTGTCATGACCTCTAGGCATCTGTGGACGGGTGGGATGCACAGCTGTCTGCCTTCCCACCAAGAATGGGTCTTCACTGTCTTTAACCTCTGCTAGCCTTCATAGTCATAGTGTGCTCTTCTCCCTGCTCCTTTGATTTTACTAACTTTACATTTGTTATTCAGCACTATCTTATTCTTTGATGTTAAGATATGTTAAACAGCTAACTCAGATCACTGCTGTGTGTGCATATCCTTCTAAAATTTCATAAGTCTTTTGGACTACAATTTTTCCCCCAGACAGTGTTTCTCTGTGTAGCTCTGTCTGTCCTGGAGCTTACTCTGGCCTGGAGCTCACAGAGACCCAGCTCCCTGTGCCTCCTGAGTGCTGGGATTAAGAGAGCGCACCATCACTGACAATGCCCTGCTGACATTTCAGATTTACTACATCTAAACACAACCCGTTCCAGGAGTGAAATAGAATATATATATTTTTATTTATGTTGGGTTCCTCTTCGCCTTCCGCATTGTTTTAAATTGTCTCCTTTCACTCACTGGTGTACAGCCTTTCAAATCCTTTTGCAGTCTCTCAGTCAGCCCATTCCTTTCTTATCTTACTATCTGGGCTATAGCACAAGGTCTTAGCTTTCACCTGGGTTGTTTCAATAGTTATTATTTCAGTAGTTTCTATTTGTATTACATACCTTTCCACAGTTAGATTTCTTGGTAAGCATATTCATTATCTGTATATGTATATTTTTAAAGTGTATGTTTAAGAATTCTCTTTTGCAGTGTTGGAGATCAAACCTTGTGCTTGTTTCATTTCAGTCCTTCACTCTTTATGGCACACATGGGCCACCCACATGCCCTCCTGTACCCCTACTCCATTCTTTCTTTCCTTAGCAAAATCTGCAGGTAATTATTTTCTACAGGATCAAGTCTTTACCTTGGCTATCAAGTCACTTTATAGACGTGTTAAAACTTAACCATTTCTTGCACAGATTACCTCTACTGTATGTTAATGCTTATATATTATATTTCATAATTTAACTTCCATTCTGATTTTATCACCTAATAGCTCTTAATAAAGTAGTTATGAGACATAGAGTCAAGGGTTTTTTTGTTTGTTTTTGTTTTAAAGTGAAATAACTAAAGCTTGTAGAAAGGTCTTATTAATGGTTTGATTACTTGTTAGAACAATCAGGAGTCAAAACCAAATCATTTCTCTCCTCTCTGCTCTGCTGCCAAATAGATATATTACTAGCACGGGAAAAGTATCTGCTCGTCCTTATAGTGATCTCTAGGAAAGAAAAAAAATTATATAAGGAATCTGAAATTGCCTTAGAGCAATTATTCCCATTCTTTTGGAATGCTAGTATTCTTTTCTAACAACTTACAGTATATTGATGTTGTAGAAGTTCTGCATTCTAATTTATATTGGTTAAGAAAATGACAACTACTCTAAGAGTAGGGATTTTTAAAAATTATTAAAATTATTTCATTAATCACATCATCTGTATGGCTTTAAAGTAAATGTAATGGGTCTAACAATCAAGACTTGTGTACATGTAAATTACAAGATTTTTTTCCAATAACTGAACCTTTCTAGGTGTTCACTGTGATGGGAAATTGGTTGAAATGTTCCTTTGAGGTCAGTTCCCGAAATACAGGGTATTTTGAGGAAACAGAGGAATTGGCAGTTATTAGATACCAGTTTTTCATCTTCCTACAGATTAAGCAACACTGAATGTATGACATCTTAGAAAAATAAAATTTTTGGAGGGTCCCTGAATCATTGCGAAATGCCCACTATTGAATCTGTGATGCATACAGGCCATCCCATCTCTGTGTAGCTTGATGTGTTTTCTTCTTATTCATGATTAGTTTCTCACATTATATGCCATTTTGCTGTGAAAAGCTGCCTGCCTAAATAATAATGTTTGGCCTGAGCTATCAATCTTTAAGAAGAAAAAAGACAACTTTCTCAGTTACTATAGGAGCAGAGGTGAAGCACTGTTTCATCGTCATTTCCATTGATACGCAGTTAAGGTCAGCCTTTTTACCCAGGAAGTGCCTTTCTGTGTAAATGCTGTATTTATGATAACCTGTAGGTTATGGCTGTCTAATTTACTGTGTCTTTAGCATTTAACCTGTGCCAAACACTTACCTTTATACCAAGAAATAGAAGAGAATATAGAGACTAAAAAGACAGTAAGTTGCCTCTAACAGACTTTAATCTGCTTCTTATCTGGATAGGTCAGCATTTCCTTATTTGTAGTCTGTTATGAATAACTCACCTGTCTGTTAAGGATTGAATATATAACATGGACTCAGATCTGTGTGGCTCAATTTGCAAATTTTCCTTGGGGCGGTGCATGCTTGTAGCACTAGTACCCATGAGGTTGAATATTACTTAAGCAGAGGGTTCTAGACTAACCTAGGCAACAAAACAAGACCCTGTCTCAAAAAAGAAAAAAAAAAAAATTGGCAAGATAGTTTTGGAAGGAGAGTTTTGTTATGTAGATACGAGGACCCGATTTCAAGCTCCAGCACCAGATAAAAGCCAAATGTCACAGGCAGTGCCCACCTGTGACCTCTAACTCGGGGGAAGCAGAGACAGGATGGTCCCTGAGATTGCTGACCAGGCAGCTGAGTTGAATCAAGGAGTGCCAAGTTGAGTATGATGCCCTTCCTCAAAAAAAAAAAAAAAAAAAAAAAAAAAAAAAAAAAAGTGGAGCGTGAACATCTGATATCCTCCATATGTTTACATAGACATATAATCCAAACCAATAATTTTTTTTTAACTTGAAAAAGGAAAACAACACAAGAATTTCATGACAGCAGCAACAACAAAATTCCCTTTCATGTAACGTTCTTTTGGGGAAGATACATAAGCAATAAATAAGCTAGTGCAGGAGAGAGGTGGGGCAAGGAGGGCATGCTCAGTAGAGTTCATGCTTAGCTGCTCAAGAAGTGAGACCAAAGGTTGACAGATGGGGACCTCCTGAAAGCACAAAGCCCCTTCAGAGCAAAGCAAGCAGTGCATCAAGCGAAGAGACAGCGTATAGAGAGAGAGACAATGTGTACACACTGTGCTTTTGATAGAATGTAATAGAGATGTAGAAAGAATAGGGATACAGAAACACCTCAAACTATATAATAAGAAATGAGGGGGCTGGAGAGATGGCTCAGAGGTTAAGAGCAATGACTGCTCTTCCAGAGGTCCTGAGTTCAATTCCCAGCAGTCACATGGTGGCTCACAACCATCTGTAATGAGCTCTGGTGCTCTCTTCTGGCATTGAGGTGTGTGTACATGCAGACAGAACATTATATACATAATAAATAAATCCTAAAAAAAAAAAAAAAAGAAATTAGATAGTCCAATCGGATGGAATGCACATCGCTAGTAAAGGTTGGGAAAAGTGTTCAATTTCTCTTAACCATTAGAGAAATGCAAATCAAAACTACATTGAGATACCATCTTATTCCAGTCAGTTTTCATTCATCAAAAAAACAAAAGCTTGTGAGGATATGGACAAGAGAGAGCCTTATAGGTATATTTGTAGCCCAGATGTTTGCTCTAGTGAAATGGAATATTTTTGAGCAGAGCTGTGGAATCATATCTAAAATGAAAAGGAACTTAGCTGGTTGGAGACCAGGTTGGAGATGGGGTTAACTTGTAGCAGCAGGTGCTAGTGGAGGGTAGGGAAGGTGAGCACAATCTGCTCCTTTAGAGTTTGAGTCAGTAGACAGGAGTGATGGTAGAGTGATAGGCATTTGAATAAA